GGCCTCACTTGTCGAGCGCAGACGGCGTCCAGGGGGCGGGGCCACTTCTTCGTTCGTCTTAGATGTGCTCCCCACCAAGGGGCAACGGACCCTGGGGAGGGTGATGGTAGTGTCAGGATGACACAAATGCCACCAGCTACCAGCTACAAGGAGAAGGAGAAGAGGAGGAGGAGGAGGAGGAGGAGGAGGAGGAGAAGGCTGGCTAGCGAGGAGGGGGGAGAAGAAAAGGAATAAGAGAAGCAGGAGGCGTTGAGAATGAGGATGGGTGGGCTGAAACAGATGAGGAGGCCGATAACAAGAAGGGGGGGCGACGAGGATGAAGTGGATGAGGAGGCCGAGAACGAGCAGGAGGAGGAGGAGGAGGAGGAGGAGGAGGAGGAGGAGGAAGAGGAGGAGGAGGAGGAGGAGGAGGAGGAGAGACCGAGGAGGACGAGGAGGACTCACGGAATCGGGAGGACGAGGGGGCGGGGAAGAGGGGAGGAGCACCCGAGCTCGACAGCGCGAGGGGAGGGGCGTGCGGCGTGCGGGAGCGGGGGCCCCTGCGAGGCATCTGGCTCTGCGTGTCCGGTGCGCCGGCCAAGCTGCGGCTGGCGCTGCTGGACAGGGTCGCCGACGCGGGCGGGGCGGCCGCCTCGGGCGTCCGGCGGGGGGGGGGGGCTTCAGGAGGGAAAGGAGCACACAGACACAATCAATCTCGGGGGTGGACAGAAGCCCCAACAGTGTCACGTCGATTAGTGCATTCTCCGTTTTCGGTTCTCGAGAGGGCGCCGTGGCCGTTATTTTCCAGGCTCGCGCCCGCCAGGTTTGGGCCTCAGGTCGTTTTCACTGATCCACGTTTTACTCAAGGGGGGTCTGTCCATCCCCGACAATCCTCGGCTCCCCAGAAAACATAGGAAAATACGGGGAGTGGGGGGAAGACAAGAAAAACAGAAAATAGGGGAGAAGACGTACAGGGAATCCTGCTATTAGTGTGTGTGTAGATATTTGTGTGCCCCAGGGCCCCTTCGGGAGCGCAGGGCGCCTGAGACCGGAGCACTGCAGACCAGGACTTTGGACATTCCAGCGGGGGGGGGGGGGCCCCAAGGTTGGCACCAACACCCACATGTCGGCGGCGTGCCTCCCCCGAGGGAATCTGATCCCGATCTCGGCGATGGTGGTAATACTCTGGCTTCCTAGGCGGCCGAGATATTGCCACCAGCACCAACATCTAGGATTATCTTCCCCGGGTGGCGGCAACCCGTTGTAATTACTTGTGTTGGTGCCCAGTTCCAAGCCTCCAAACTTGGAGGAGAAACGCTTTCCTTGTCGGCCCGCCCTGCGGTCTGAATAAGAGCTGCGTCGGCAGAAACCGTCACCTCGCTATGTGAAAGATGGCCCAGCGCTGCGTGCTCCAGGCTTGCGAAAGAAAGAAAAGGGGAAACGCATTGGATATAACGCGTTTGCTCGCAGATGCAGCTCAACGTTCGGAAGGTGCCAACGGGGAGGGACGAGGGGCCGGCAGAGGACGGAGGACTCGGAGGGCTGCTACACCGCCGGGAAGGCGCGGGGAGGCAGGACGCCACGCGCGTCACTGTAGAGGTTCGCGCCGTGTCGACCGGCGGCGACCTCGCCGCCAGCGTTCATTGTTGAACGTCGCGAGCGACCCGATATCGGTCGATGTTGATCGAAGAAGAAGAAGAAAAAATAAGAAGAATAATAAGAAGAACAACAACAAAAACAAAAACAAAAACAACAACTCCATAAACATAAACTGTTGGCGCTCCGCGCGGATTTCTGACATCCGCGTTGAGCCCCCCCCTCCCCCGGCGGCGCCTCAGGCGCCGCCCCTGGCGCGCTGCAGCGCAGATCCAAGAAATTCGCGCGGAGCGCCAAAAGTTTCTGCTTATGGCGTGGACTTTGCCAGGGGAGCTCGCCGGTGATCTCAAGCGCGGTCTGGTCTCCACGACCGCTTTCGAAGTCTACGCGAGGGCAGGTGAAACATGTCGCCGCCAGGTTAGATACGGCCGAAGGCTGGGTGAAGCTTTGCGCATGACTGGCATCCCGCCCCCCATGGGGGCAGCACGAGGCGACGCACTCGAACTTGAAGGGGCCGGGGCGAGGAGGAAGGGATCGGGGTGAGGAGGGGAGGAGGAGGAGACGGAGGAGGAGGAGAAGGAGGAGGAGGGCTACGAAGAGGAGGGGGAGGGGGGGAGGACAGGAGGAGGAGGGGGCGGAGGGGGAGGACAGGAGGAGGACAGGAGGAGAGGAGGAGGAGGAGGAGGAGGAGGAGGAGGAGGACAGGAGGGCTACGAAGAGGAGGGGGAGGACAGGAGAAGGAGAAGGAGGAGGAGGGGTGCGAAGAGGGGGGGCAGGGGGGGAGGACAGGAGGGGGGGGGGGCGGGGAGGGCCGAGAGCCGGCCCCACCCCGCGACGGCCCGGGCGCGCCGAGGCGGCCGCCCTCGAGGCCTGCGGCATAGGCGCCGGCGCCGTGCTGGGGGCGTGCGCCGACTTCGCGGTGGAGGACTCGCCGACATCGCGGGGGAGGAGGAGGAGGAGGAGGAGGAGGAGGAGGAGGAGGAGGAGGAGGAGGAGGAGGAGGAGGAGGAGGAGGAGGAGGAGGGGGCGTGCGCCGACTTCGCGGTGGAGGACTCGCCAGCCTGGAGCAGATACCCCCAAATTTTGTATCACCGTAGCTTTGTGGTTCAGGCGCTTGGGAATGCGTAGCCACGGCCTCACGTCCTAACGCGTGAGGCGCCGAACCTCTGACATTGTAACCTTGAGTCGTACTGCAAAAAAGTTCGGGGCGTGCGCCGACTTCGCCTGGCCCAGGACTCACCGGCCCAGGACGAGACCCAAAAAGATCTTAACCTGGGTTAATAATGTTTGGGGTTATTGACCAGGGTTGGTAATGTCCCCCCCAGAACATTATGAACCTTGGTTTTCATTGCTTGATAATGAACCACGGTCGACGAGGATTTCGGGGGTGCCCTCCACCAGCCTGGAACAGATCCCTATCCCTATGACGGGCATCGCCTCAGCTCGATGCCGATCTCGGGGATTCCCTCCGTTTCTGAGGGCGCAGCCCTGAGCTTGTCGTCGACGTGTGGCTCGTTAATCTTAGGGGTAGGGATACGTTCGAGGCTGGTTAAGGACCTCTCTCCGTTTCTGAGGGCGCATCCCTGAGCTCGTTAATTTTAGGGGTAGGGATACGTTCGAGGTTGGTTCAGGACCCTTCTCGGGTGCCGGGTGCGCTCGAGAGCTCGTCGTGCTGGTGCTTGCTGCCCGAGGTTGTCTGAAGGTCAGCGTCGGTGAGCCGGCCCCGATGTCCATGTCCATCCCGATCCAGGCCCCCACCATCTAAGCACCCCAGCTGGGGAGATTCAGGAGGGGAAAAAACCCGCAGACACGATTCATCGCCGATTCCCAGGACAGTACGGGAAAATATGGGAAGTGTGGGGGAAGACGAAAACCCTGAAAAGTCGGGCCTGTCCCTCTACAGGGGGATTTCCGACGAAAAACAAAAAATGCACCAAAAGTAATCCAACAAAAATCTAAAAATGGTATGGGGACTCTTTTAGGATTATTTGTTTGCCATTTTGGGGCATTTTTTTTCGTCGAAAATCCCCCTGTAGGGGGACAGGCCCGACCTAACCCTATCCCCATGTCCATCCCTTTCCTCTGCACGAGCGAAATGGGCACGGAGAGAAGGGGTACGATGCCCAACAGCAGTTCCTGCTCCTTTGGAGCAGGACTCGCTGTCGGTGCCGCCGCGGCCTGTGGCCATTCGAGACAGAGGGCCGCCTGCCCAACAGCGGCCGCTGCTGGTTTGGGACAACATTTGTTGTTGGGCATTGTACCCATTTGTTCCGTACCTATTTCGGGCGTCCAAACTATCCCCATGTCCATCCCGATCCAGGCCCCCACCATCTCGGCACCCCAGTTGGGGATATGCCTTTAGACACTCGAAGGGCACGGCCTACATCCCCATCTCGGGGGGGGGGGGGGGTAGCGGCGAGTGGGGCCCGAGGCCGCGCCCATTAGGATAGTGGTCGGTTAAGCGATGCGCAGTTGCGATTTCTACAAGCTTTGAGGTTTGAGGCTTCTCCCGAGCTTTGCAGAGGCGCCAGGATCGTCCCAAGCCATCCTCTGTTAATCAAACTACGACAAACTAGTTGATTTTCAAACGTGTTAATTCAAATATGTTAGCCAGCGTTTACCCCAGACAGTGGTGCAATCTATGTGGTTCGAAGCAACGGAGTGCAAAGCAATGCAAAGCGGCGCGTAGGAATGCGAAGAAATGCGTTGCTCCGCGTTGCTATACATTGCTATGCTTTGCTGCGTTTCTGTGCTTTGAGTTCGGCGTGGAAGGTGTGAGTAACCTCGAAAAAGCTGCGAATTGCAACGCACTCTGGGATTATTGGGCGTCGGTGCGTAGCGGAGCGCGCGCCCGAAGCTCGAAGAAACTTCCTGGCATTCGGGTTACCTTGGGTTTCCTCGCCCGCTCCTCGGGATGTTCGCCCCGTGTTGCCCATCCATTCACTGACGCATGCCAGTCTGGAAAAAAGAGCACCGACGCATTTCGGGGCGCATGCCCGACAGCCCAAGAATTTGGCAAACATTCACGATACCTTGGGTTTCTTCGCCGCCCCCTGACATAGGAGTGCGGGGCGCATGCCCGATACTCCAAGAAACCATTGTGGTTATCTTGGGTTTCCCCGTCCACCCCAGCCAAGGTCAAATGGGCGCTATGTTCTTGGGCGGGCGGGAGCCGTCGTCTCTCTGCTTGTGCCAGGCGCGAAGCTTGCGACAGCCTTGGGTTTCTTGGTGTCAAGTTGCCCCACGCAAGCATTACAGACACCGCTCGGGCCAGGGTGCCCTGGGTGTCTTCGCTTGCAACCGACGTGCCGACAAAAACCAGCCCTGGATGGGGGCCCGGGCCGCGGTGGCCGCTCTCCTGGGCGCCCTCGGGGCCTCAGCAGAGGCAGGCCCCTCGGCGCCGCCCGCTGGGGCGGCCACCCCCGGGCCCACGGGGGAGGCGGCCGCCCGGGGTGAGCAGACCCATCTGGCTGCGAGCCTCAGGCGATCGCAAGCATGGATTGTGAGGGGGCGTGGATTAGCGACGGGTCCCGTTTCCATGCAGAATCGCGTATCCCCGCCGCCGAACGGGGCGGCACCGGCCGCATTTTGGGGAGGGCACCTCCCCCGATCCACGTATTGGGCGACCGCGCGCCAAGTCCATGGATCGCTAATCCATGTTTGCGCGCCCCCGAGGGCCAGCAGAGGCGCGACGGCACGACCCCAGGGGCAGGCGAGGCGGGGCGCAAGGTACCACACAGTCAAATTTAGAAACAGCACGACCCAGGCGCCGCTTCCGTTGGCCGAGCCGTGGTGGCACGGGAGGGAGGGCGGATGGCGCGATGGTGCGTTGGATCGTCGGCTCTGTGAACCAGGGTTAGATCTAAAGGTTGTTTTGCTGGACGTGTTCCGTTGTTGACAAGGAGGTACAGGAAAACAGATAGAGCAACACGAACAACAAAACGAACACAACACGAACAACAACGTTTAGGTCCAGCCCTGCTGTGAACGTCGGTCGGTACATCGAGACCCCGTGGGTCGAGGCCCCCCCGAACACATAGGGCAAGATCGTGTCGAGGACATGGGGCAGTCCAGGAGAACTGCTGCGGCCGTGCACGGTAGAGCGCAAAGCCACCTCACAATCCGACAGGACAGGTACTTCCGAATCGGGGGGTCTAACATAAAAATGCTTACGGAGGCTGTTATCGACGGCGGTCTCCAGGATCAGGAGCTTTACAACAGCGGCGACCTCGAGATCCTCGCCGCCGACATCGGACCTACGTGCTGTGGGTGTACGTGTGCAGGTCTTCCAGTGGCGCGGAGTCAAATAACTAGCGACGTGAGGTCGGACACGGATAGCATTCACCCAGACACGGACATCGGGGACAGAGACGAGGAGCCAAATGCCAAGCCGCCGTTCGCGGAGGTGGCCCGTAGCCAGTCGGACTTGGCGTCGGCCGTGGGGGCGCTGAAGTCGAAGATCAACCAAGGTGGCCCAGGTGCTGGCCCGAGCTGTGGGATTGGCGAGGCCGGGGGCGGCGAGCACATGGGTCAGCCCCCCTTGCTTCCGCCTGCGGCGGCACCGCCGCCGTGCGAGGGTGAGCCTGGCATGGCTGACGTCAATCGTTTTAACGATAAGTTGACGGCGCACGAAGAGGTCGTGAATCGCGACTCGGGACGCTCGGCACGGGCCACTGCCGGATCTCTTTGCCCGAGTTCGAGTGCTGATTCTTGAAGAAGGTAGGGGACATGGCGGAGCTCGACGACCCCTTGGGGGACCAGATCGTGCAGCTAAAAGAGGAGGCGACGAACCCGAAGGAGAGCTTTCTCACCACGCTGCAGCGCTACCGCACGACGACGGGCGCTCCCGCCGGGGGCGTGAGGCCCCGCGTTGCACCCACATTGTTGGCGAAGCTCTACAGGGGTGGCCGAAGCGCCCGCATCGAGACGAAGGAGCCGCTACGCTCCAAGGGGCTGCAGGGCGCGGGCGTGGCGCAGGATGCCAACATGCTGGCCATGGTCTTCGACCGCGTGGCGATTGAGGGCCAGTGCGACGAGCTCATCAACTCCCAGGGCGGCGGAGCTGACGTGCTTGCGGCTCTACTCGATCTGGGAAGTGCACGAGCGGGTGCAGTGCAGGGCCGACTGGCAGAGGCCTAAGAGCCAGCGCGGCAGCAAGTGGAAGTCGAAGGTGGACTTGGATGCTGGCCGAGGAGCACCTCCGTCTAGACGGTGACCTGGAGAAGCTGAGAAGGAGGGCCATCCTAAACAAGCGCCCGGGAAAGGCGCGTGTAGGACAGGCTTCCACCGACGACAAACGAGGCGCGGCCGGAGCTATCGCGACGCGCTCTGGCCAAGGCCTGGGAGGCCACTCCATTCTACCACGGCCGCGGCAGCGCGCAATTCTGCCCAGGGATTTCCTGTTGGCGGCTTTTCTACATCGGGCAGTGAGCGCCGTGGCGATCTGCAGCGGCGGGGTCCAGGGGGTCGTCACCGAGCAGGGCCCTCTTCTGCGCGCGGGGCCTATCGTTCTTTTCGCGCGAGCTGGCTTTCCCGCGCGCCGCGGCGCAGGGCGCCGGGCGGCACCCGATGATCGCTGGGGGGAACGACCTGCGAGAAAAGGGGCCCTCCGGGGACCCTCCTTGCTTGGCTTTCCCGCTGAAGACGACGAGGCCCAGCTCAGGGCTGACGGAGGCGGGGCCGAGGGCCACGTGCAGGCGCATTTCGAAGACGATGGCGGCGATCAGGAGCACGGCGACAGGATGCGCGAGCGTCTGGCTCCAGCCGGCACCCCTGGGACTGCGCGCTGCGAGTCGACGGGGCCGGACAGAGTCGGCTGGTGCAGAAAAGGCAGATTGCGCTGACTGCGGAGGCTTGGGGTCGCCGGGTCGCCGTCTGGCGGGAGGGAGGGGGTCCGACGGGTGATTTTGCACATGATAAGGGAGC